AGTATACAATCATTTGAAATTTGTCTTTTTTGAATTATTTTATGACTACTCCAAAACATACAGTGAGCTAATTTACTACTTTAAATAGTTTTTGGCATTCTCTGCTAAACATTTACGTTGGTTCTAGCTTTTTCCATTAAAGAGAAGTTGAGTAAAACTCTATTTAAAGACTTTATGCATGTGCACATGTGTGGCTATATAATTCCCATTGCTGAAACGGGAATTTGTAGACCTAAATGTGTGTGCATGTATTATTTCAGTAAATATCGTGCCAAAATAAACATAGAAAAGAGGAGCACACACACAATTAGGGTAACCCCAGTTGTGATAATTTAGAATTTTAAGGTGTTTTGTAAAAAAAAAAAAAACACTCTAAAAATAATTTTTTGGTTCCCCGAGGGTACCCATGTGCATGGCACACCTCTCCTGTCTCACCTGCTACTGCCCTCAGCAGTGTACTTTGTTAATCTGCCTACAATGCTCCTTACTGTGTCTCTGGTGAATCCTCTTATCACCCCTGCAACTTTGGTCTGTACCCCAGTTCTGTGTGCTTAAATAAATAAAAATCTTTTTAAAAATAATAATTCCTAGAGGCTAAATTTTCACTAAGTCATGTTTCTTCTCCATATTTTTGCAATTTGTTTTATAGTGACCAATATGTATGGTTTAATATTTATGTCTATTATATTTTACTTGCAATCTGAGATTTACTTCACATTTTACAGTATCTGAATTTTTATGACTGAGTTTTTTCATGTATTTTCTTTATCTTCTTATTTTTTGCCTAAAAAATTAATAATTTTGTTCTATAATTTTATCATTAGTAAGACACTGCAGTGAGCTTGGTCAAGAATGTCACTGTAACCCACCAGTGGAACTTTAGTTGACAACTATATGTTAATCAGTCAGTTTAGGATTTTTCAAAATCAGATCATTTCAAGTTAATTATACCATCAATGTTTTCATGTTGTCAAAGGGAACACACTACATTAGTAACAGGATGATAGAAGAAGATTCTGCATAAAGTTTTTGCTCTCTCTCAATATACAATGATTTACATTGTTGATGCTCTATTATTTATTTATATATTGGACAAATATTTATCAAATATCTAAGGAAATCTGAATTTCTATTAGGTACAGGAAATATAAGCAATGAATAAAAGAGACCAAATAATTTCCTACACAGTGTGAGGAATGTACATTATAAAGTAAAATAATCTAAGGCAAAATTTGGGGATATAATATAGATGTTAGAAGAAATAAATATAGTAGTGCATTAGCCCATAAAAAGGACTAGCTGGAGGAATGAGTTAGGGAAATAAATCTCTGAGAAGATGAATTTGGAGTTTCCATTATTCACTGTAACAGAAGCTGGCCACATGATTATATGGGAAAAGAGCACTGGGAAATTACCAAATACAGCAAGTATTTCCAGTGGAAAAGAACTTATACAGTGTTTTAGAACAATAAAGTCAATATGCATTGATTTAAAGGATGAAATGGAAAACTATGTTGGGTAGGTTTGAAAGATAACAGTAGGAAATTCATAAAAGTCTGATTAAGCCATAAAGATGTTTGCATACTACTGTAAAAGTTCAGTAAATCAATTGCTTTGATAAATATCTTTGAAATTTCACTAAGAATTTTCTATAGAAAGTAGATTAAAGAGTGAGAATATATGACATATAAAACTATGGGATTATATTTCTGTAGTCCAAGATAAAGATGGTGGAACAAGATCCTGATGGAGAAGATGTAGAAAAGTATGCAGATTCAAAATAAGCATTTCTGGTGAAATTGACAGGACTCTTTAATGGATTAGATAGGCATAACTGTCATTAGCATAAAAATAAAACTTTCACAAATGTATATTTGTGTCTGTTTACTTTTCTCTCTAGTTGCATACTCAGTGCCTACAGTGTAGTGTTATAACAATAAATATTTACTAAATTAATGAAAAGAAAAACCTTTAGATTTTCTTCCCAGAACAACTAGGTAAATGAGACACCACTCACTAAAATCGGTAACATGTAAGAAGCAAAGTGAGATGGAACTAAGGTAATCAGGAGTTTCATTTGGCTATTTTAAGTTTTAGATGTCTTCTGGAGTTACATGGAAATGAAACTTTAGATATGTGAGTCTAGTCTTTAGGGGAGAGGTCTGGCCTGGAGAGAAAAAATTGGAAGCTATCAGCATATAATCATGGAATTTATTGAAGTACATAATAAAATAACTAGAGTCTCCCAAGGAGGTTTTAAGAAAATATATGATTGTGGAGATACATAGAACATGCTTATTATTGGAAAAACTGAACATCTTAACAAATAATTATCCCCTAAAATAATCTAAAATCCAAGGAATGTTAATTATTTCAATAAAAGTTGTAACATGCATTTTCATAGAACTTTACAAGTTGATCCTGAAAGTTACATGAGAGAGCAAAAGATAACAGCAATAGCTTAAAGAACAAAATAAACCCATTTGCTTAAATATATCAGTTTCATATAAGACCATTATTAAGACATTTTTACACTGTTGCAGGGATAAATGAATGGAGCAGAATAGAGCTCTCTAAAATTTGTGTATGTTGAAATGTATCTCAACATTCCTATCAATTTATATTTACATATGGAATAGTAACCAAAAATTTGTATATATCCTTTAGGTGATTTGATAAGTAATATTTGTTAAATATGTGGCATGTATTATATAATATGTACATATGTATTACATATTCATATAAGTATACACATATGTGTATACAAATATTTATGTGAGCTAATAGAAACATTTTAAAAGTCTATGTATGTGAGTATGTGGGTGAAATAACAGCAGCATTTCACACTAGTATTAATTAAGAATATTCATCCATGGTGGATAAATCCATGATGACCCAACTATTACCACTATACATAAAAATAGATCTCTACCTCATTTTAGATATAAAAATAATTTTCAGGGCCCTCCCTGGTGGCGCAGCGGGTTAAAGCACTGCACTAAGAAACTAAAGAGCCGCTTCCGCATGAGTTCGATTCCCGCCTGCCCCGGAGGTGACCACATGGCGTGGCAGACCTCTCCTGACCCGCCCGCTGCTCCCCTCATCAGTGTGCTTAGTCAATCTGCCTGTTCTGCTTCCCGCTCTGTCTCTGGTGAATCCTCTCACCCTCCGCATTTCTGGCCTGTACCCCAGTTCTGTACGAATAAATAAATAAATCTTTAAAAAAAAATTTTTTTCAGATGAAAAAGACTGAAATTTGAATAACAATACATCACTGCTTTTAAAAGAAAATATAGGCTAATAGAACATTTTTTTTGGAATAAATTCCTAATAAAGCACACAATCATAAAGCCTGGAACAGAGTAGTTGCTCACAACATAGTTATAGAAGATTTTTTAAAAATGCATCACATGTATACATTAAAACTTTCTATGGCTAAATATTATTTTAAAAGTTTGGTCATAGAAGATATTTTTTTAAAAACTTAAGCAATGCAAAGTTAAGTAAACAAATAATACACAATCCAACTAAAAGTCATTAAAGGGTTTAGTTAATACATAGAATAAGAAAGGCAAATGCTTAATAAACACTTTAAAAGAATCTCTTCAGCATTGAGAAAAATTACAAATTAAACCCAATTATATATAGTTAATATTTTTAGGATTCAAAAGACATTTAAATGAATGACAACATCAAGTATTATCTATGATGTGGAGACATAAGAATTCGCAGAGATTTTTGACAGAGGCATAAGTGATGGAACCCCTTTGAGACCTCAGCACAATGTTCTGTCCCTGTATGACCTCATAGAAAACTCATGAGGTTGTGTCATCTGGGCTGCTGGTCTTATAGATTATTTCCCCTGCAGTATTGATTTGTTAATAAATATTAAGTCAAAAGAAGCAATTTTCCTTATTGCTTCTTCAATATTTTTAGAGATGAAGTTGTCAGAAAGACAGATCAAGAATTAACTATTTTAGAATAAGAATCTTAACTGATGTTCACAGATTTGAAGTTTTAAATCATTGTTGTATTTCATATCTTTAAATATCTATGACTCTTATTAAGAAATAATTGTCAATACTGTGTTTTTCTTAGACTACAACAAGAAGTTTAAGAGTGTCCTTACATGTATCCTGACTCATTACTTCAAGGCTACTAATCACCTAGAAATAATTCCCTAAAATATGACATTCAGGTTTTTTAAATTCTTGAATTACAACACGAAATAATTTGTTGTCATTTCCCAACGCAAGCCCACTTTTGATAAATGTAAAAAAGGAAGTCACCCTTTTCATACTATTTGAGATTTCAACATTAAAAATAAATGACTAGGCGCTCCCTGGTGGCGCAGCGGGTTAAAACACTGCACTGAGAAGCTAAAGCCACTTCCGCATGAGTTAGATCCCCGCCTGCCCCCAGAGGTGACCACATGGCATGGCAGACCTCTCCTGACCCGCCCGCTGCTCCCCTCAGCAGTGTACTTCGTCGATCTGCCTGTTCTGCTCCCCACTCTGTCTCTGGTGAAGCCTCTCACCAACTCTGTACTCTGGCCTGTATCCCAGTTCTGTATGTACAAATAAATAAATAAATAAATAAATAAATAAATAAATAAATAAATAAATAAATAAAAATCTGAAATGGGTATCTTGGTGATGGGTGTGGTACAATTAACATTTATCATTAGAGGTGTAATTCCAGTTATACCTCTCAATCATAAACTGTCTTATAAACCCATGTTATCTAAATAAATAAATATTGTTCAAAGTTGCTTTGAAAAAGCAAGATTCTGATATGATCCCTCAGGGAATGATATAAGAGTAGGAGCTAAAATAACTACTGTAGGTGATTAGTAAAGATGTATATCGTTATACTTGGGGGCAGTTTTCTGTTTCTGAAATATGTATTTTAATATCTCTCAGTATTTATAAAATTCTAAAGCATTGTATATACATTTTATAGCTAGTTTAATTAAAGATATAGTAACTTAGATATCATACCTGTGGACATAAGGTTTCCAGGTGACTGGCAGCAGTTTTGACAATTTTAATCCCATCTTCATTTGTTGACATGGAACAAGCAAGATTTGCCACCTTAAATCAAACCAGAATAGTTAATAAAACTTATTTCAGATTATCAGGAAAATGTAGAAACGCTTTTTACCCTAGATAAGAATATATACATGAGTCGTTGAAAGTCTCATTGACAAACCTTCTCATAAATGCCACTAGCAGCTGCTTCATAGAAATATTCATAGATCTGTTAAAACAAACCACAACAAAGGTCCCTAGAAGACTGTTTAAAACAAAAGGAAGATGAATGAGTCAATCAGTAAACACTACAGAGTTTTGTAGTGTGGGTATACAAACAGTAAGAAGCTAACAAATATGTTTTCCATGGACAGGAAAAAAAAAAGGTCTATGGATTGAATGCTAATAGGTTCTTGGAATCTCATATGATTATGATTGATCTTAAGTTTTCATTGGCTTAATTTTTCCCAGAGGTCTATTAAATACACTTAAATTACATTAAATATGACTGCATCTTTATTCATGTTATTATTGAGTATCAAATATACAACAATGCTGGACAAATACAAGATAATTAAATTGTTTTTCCTGTTTTTGAGTTTCTACTATAATTTCATGGGCACTGTTTACATGCCAGCAGTCGATCTGATTCAAGCATTAGAGATACTCGGTTCTTTTATTCATTTTGCCTTTAAAAAAATACACTTTCTGGGTCCTTCCTGGTGGTACAATGGGTTAAAACACAGAACTGTGAAGTTGGATCCCAGGCCAGGGAGGTGACCTACATGGCTCAGCAGACCTCTCCTTTCTTACCTGCTGCTCCCCTTACCAGTGTACTGAGTCAATCTGCCTGTTCTGCTCCCCACACTATCTCTGACAAATCCTCTTACTGCACCTACACCTCTGGCCTTTACCCCAGAATAAATAAATCTTTAAAAAGAAAAAAACAGCAAACATACACTTACTTCCAGTGAAATAGGTATTTTTCTAAATAACTACCCTTTTGTCCATTACCCAACTCCAAAGTTACAGATACTGTGTAACACAGAAGAACCATGAGATACAGTCTGAAATTCTTTTCTTTCTTTGAACCTCACTCTCATTCATCATTCTTCTTGCCAGCAGTGAGTATGTATGGAGACAAAATAGTCCCATCTTCAATATAGGTGATTATCTCTCCATCATTGCAAGGGGATCACTTTTCTAACAATTATTTTTCTAACTTTCTTAATATCTCAGTTATTATGTATTTTTTAATACATCATAGTTTTTAGTGCTCACATTCAAAATGTATTCAGATTTGTAGAAACCACACATTAGCTGCATGTAGTGAAAGCCAACGTAAGGCATATTTCTAGGACACTATTTGAAGAGTACCATAAAATGTTACTTAAATGGATTTATAGTCTTTACTTTTTTTATGGCATTGCATTTAATGTCAATAGTAGAATGCGCCCTTGGTTTACATTTACGTATAATGAAATAACAGCCATATATTATTTAAGTGTGGAAGAGCATGGCTTACTTTATTAATGTATATGGAAATGACTTACTTGAAAAGGTCTTTTGTTGGCTTGAAGGTCACAATGCCTCAACTTTCATATCTGACATATAATTAGCACATTTGTTGAATTATCTGAAAAGGGCAGAGTTTCGAGCCTTCTCACTCACTTCCAAGTCCAACTCACAGATAGTGAAATTCAGCACTCAGACGGTCTTAACATCCTATAATAACTTGCACTGCACTGCACAGAAAATATCTATATCTAAATTTGACTTCTGTTTATTTTAGGTAGAACAACTAAAAAATACTGGCTGAAAATTTCTGTCGCATCAGAATTCCAATAAATCCAAAGTGAGCAAATTATAGAATGCTGCCCCACGTAGACACTATATTATTTTTAAATTTATAATTTTCTTTTTGTCCTTTTCAAAAATAAACAATCTTGAAGACTAGCTCATCTGAGTTTATCTTAAGTGAAATAAGCCAGAAGAAGAAAGATAAATACCAGGTGGTATAATTTATAGGAGGAATATAGGAAAGAAAAAAAAGGGTCAGACAAAGACAAAGACAAACTTTAAAACCAACCCTTGAAAGCTGACCACAGACATTTGGCTTTCAAGAGAGAGGGTGAGAAGGATGAAAATAGGGAAATGAAGGGAAAAACACAATAGATTAAGGAGAGAACTGTGGGTACTTAGGCAGCAGGAGGTTGAGGGTGACTATTCCTGAGTGGGGTAGAGTCCTTTGCTGTCAAACTCTAGCAAGGGTATAAAATAATGGCCTTCAATAAATAAATAAATAATTTTAAAAAACTATCTGTCACCAAGTGGACAAGTTTTCCTGAGCTGTATTCCCAGAAGGTAGAAAATGAAAATATAGATAGATAGATAGATAGATAGATAGATAGATAGATAGATAGATAGATAGATAGATAGATAGATGTAAACATATACATATCACATATATAAATGCTTATATATATATATATATAAAGATTCTTTTCTTTAATATATGTTTGCTACTATGTTTATTTTAAGCTAACTTGGAGACTAACATAACATAGAAATCATCCTAAACACAAATTTCTATTAAGTATTAGCAAACTTAAGTTTTAAAAAACTACTAATTGGAAATACAACACAATTTTCTAATTAATTAGTGACAATAATGATATAAACACTGATTTTATCTTCCTGAACTTCTTACCAGAACTTTTCTAGATTGGGCAAACTTTCTTGGTAATCAGTACTACTCTATTCTATAGCATGAAGATTTTTATTGATATTTTATAGAAATAAAGTTCAACATATAAGATAGCTAGTATTCTGTGACATACAGAAAAAAAATGGGTGCTAAGATATCAAATTTCTTACATTTCTTGATTTAGTGATTTGTGGTTGATTTTTCAAAGTCCCATCACTATGTAAATGAAGCTCTAACAAAAATTGTTTCTAAATTCTGTGTGGCTCTTTTGACAGTCAAGTATGTTCCCAAGAGCAGCATGAGAACAACTTCCGACTGGTCATAGAGAACAGTTGCAAATAAGATGTTTTACAAAATACTTTGAGATATGTGGACATCTGACATCTTTTGTGTATTTAACATTGGCACTATTTCAAAAGTGTGTAACGCTTCTTTTCTCAAGAAATCCCTGTGAGTGCTTTTTTTCCCACTAAGGAAATTAGGGAATAGGAGGTTTTAGAGGTAAACACGTAAGGGTTTGAAACTGATTTCAACAATTAAGTAACCTTCTGACCATGGGCAGGATAATAATGTCTTTAAGCCTGTTTTGTCACCTATAAAATGGGTCTGATATTTTGAACTCACTGGGGTATTTTGGAAGATAATGCATGAAGATGACCTGATATCAGGTAGCTCTAGTGCATGTCTTTCCCTCAAGCTCATTTTATCCTTTTGCTCATAGAGGAGTGGAATGGAACATTCACCCTGTTAAGTGTTTTTATAGAATTTGTATTATCCAGAAAATTTAGCAAAATGCTTAATATTAGCACTTAACTGAAACATTTTCAGGAATTAAAAAATAGAGACTAAGTTATCTCAGAGAGTGGAGTAGGGATGGATGCCCAGGAAAACATGAGGTGATATGTTCTACCTATCAGAACTCATTAAAGCAAAATAAAATGAAAGGAAAAATTCTGCCTTGAGATCAATCTAAGAATCTGTTAATTTATTTTTTTTAGTTCATAGGTCACCAGTTTGTGAACTGTGACCCCAATTCTCTAATCGTCTACTCTTTAGACAGATTGTCAATCAGGGTTATGCATTTGCTTTTTTTAAGTAAATTAAATAATATTAATTTAATATATATTTTACTTTATTTTAATTACAATTTGATATTTATGCCATGCTGAATTAGTGTTGACAAAGGTTCCTACATTGAAATGAATGACCATTTTTGTGACATTATATCTTTAGCTAGGCCCAAGTCTAAATTACCTTAAATAAATAGAATCAGATATTCAGGTAGATTTGCTTTTTTTTTTTTAAGAAGTCTGTGACACAATGTCCTTTCATTTTTACAGAAGATTAAATAACATTAATGTCATTATTGAAAGCATGTTCAATAATTATAAACACCAAACAAAAACTTCAGATAGGTACGATTCTCATGTTACTGAGAGGATTTTTTTCCATCAGCACTTCTGGAGTCTCTCCCTTTCTCACTAGTTCTTCTGTCCTTTAAGATGTATGATCCATTTGAGACTCTCTAAACTTGCAATATCAACGTGTTTTTTGTTTGTTTGTTTTTTCTTCATTATCATTATTCCTGTGATGGTGATCTTGTGACCTATGCAAATAATCTTGATGTTACTGTTGTAGTTGCTTTGGGTCATTGATTGCTTTAGACACTATCTGCACTTAGTTTGTAGATGTGATGTGTTCAGGATGGCTATGGACTGGCTGTCCACCTATCGCTGTTCTCCTTGGTCCTATTTCTTGAAGCACAACAATATTGTGTATAAGGCTAATTAATAGTCAGGCATTGACTTCTAACTGCTCAAATAAAAGGAAGTGTTGCTCATCTCTCATTTCAAATCAAAAGTTTCCCTGAGGAAAGTGTCTGAGAATTTGAGATAGGCTGAAAGTTAGGTCTATTGTGCGAGATAGTTAGCTAAGTCGTGAATGCAAAAGAAAAATTCTTGAAGGAAATTAAAAGTGCTACTCCAGTGAACACACAAATGATAACAAAGCAAAACAGTCTTATAGCTGACATGAAGAAGTTTTAGTGGTCTGAATAGAAAATCATAACAGCAACAATATTTCTTTAGGCTGAAATTTAATCCTAGCTCTCTTTAAAGGTGTGAAGACAGAAAGGTAAGAAAACCAGGAAAGAAAAGTTTGAAACTAACAGATGATGGTGAAATTTAAGGTAAGAAAAGCTGTTTCTATAACATAAAGTGCAGATAAGCAGCAGCGAGTACTGATGTAGAAGCTGCAGGCTTACAAGCTTCAAAGGGCGGGCTTACTCTCTTGCTAGGGGCTAATGCAGCTGGCAAATTTAAGTTGAAAGTCATACTTATTTAACATTCTTAAAAAT